TTAAATCTGGGATGGTTCTGAGGCAGTATTATAAACTATAAAAATGTATATTTTTAATACTTTAAAATCTGGGATGAATATAAAATGTTAACATTGAGGGAAACTGCATGTGGGGTATACAGGAAGTCTGTACGATCTTAGCAACTTTTCTATAAATCTAAAAGCTATTCTGAAATAACAAACGGGGTTTTGTTGTTGTTGTTGTTTCATTTTTAAATCTGGGATGGTTCTGAGGCAGTATTATAAATTTTACAGAATTACCTGGGAAGTAAATTCTTTAATACACATATAGTATACTATAACCCTTTTCCTATTCTTTCCTCCCCTTTTTTCCCTCAAAGTAAATTTCTCATTGTCCATAAGAATAGTTTTCCGGGAGAAGTGGAGAGTTACCTAAGGGGCACTGAGTTTGTTAGGGGTGATGAAAACATCGGGGAACAGATAGTGGTGATGGTGGCACAACATGGTGACTGTAGTTAATTCACTCAATTGTACACGTGAAAATGGTGGAAATGGCGAATGTTTTGTTGTCATTTTTTTCCACAATTAAAAAAAAGTAAGGAGGAAAAAAAGAATACTTTTCTATACTTACTCATTTTGAATCTGACAATCATATGGTATACTGTGCTGGGACTGAAAAAATGAAGAGGAATGGCATCAAAAAGAACATTTCAGGATCTATCCTGAAGTGCAACGCTGTCAGTGGTAGGATAATATCCATATGCTTACAAGGAAGACCAGCTAATAACGACTTATTCAAATTTATGCCCCAACCGCTAATGCCAAAGATAAAGAAATAGAAGATTTTTACCAACCTCTGCAGTCTGAAATTGATCAAACATGCAGTCAAGATGCATTGTTAATTACTGGTGATTAGTACGCGAAAGTTGGAAACAAAACAGAAGGATCGGTAGTTGAAGAATATGGCCTTGGTGATAGAAACGACACCAGAGATCACATGATACAGTTTTGTGACACCAACGACTTATTCATTGCAGATACCTTTTTTCAAAAACGTAAATGATGACTATGCATGTGGACCTCACCAGATGGAATACACAGGAATCAAATCGACTACATCTGTGGAAAGAGATGATGGAGAAGCTCATTGTCATCAATCAGAACGAAGTCAGGGACCAACTGACGAATAGACCATCAGTTGCTCACATGCAAGTTCCAGTTGAAACTGAATAAAATTAGAACAAGTCCACAAGAGCCAAAGTACAACCTTGAGTATATCCCACCTGAATTTAGAGACCATCTCAAGAATAGATTTGATACGTTGCACGCTAATGACAAAAGACCAGATGAGTTGTGGGATGACATCAAGGACATTGTACATGAAGAAAGCAAAAGGTCATTAAAAGGACAGGAAGGAAAGAAGGACCCAAGTAGATGTCAGAAAAGACCTGAAACTTGTTCTTGAACATAGAGTAGCTAAAGTGAACAGAAGAAATGATGAAGTAAAAGAGCTGAGCAAAAGATTTCAAAGGGCAGCTCAAGAAGACAAAGTATTATAATGAAATGTGCAAAGACCTGGAGTTAGAAAACCAAAAGGGAAGAACATGCTCGGCATTTCTCAAGCTGAAAGAACTGAAGAAAAAATTCAAGCCTCAAGTTGCAAGAGTCACTGTACCAAAAAGAATTGGTCGATATTCAGCCATTTCAGGAGGCAGCATATAATTAAGAACTGATGATACCGTAGGAAGAAGCCCGAGCTGCACTGAAGGCATTGACGAGAAACAAGGGTCCAGGAATTGACAGAATACCAGCTGAGATGTTTCAACAAATGAATGCAGCACTGGAGGTGCCCACTCGTCTGTGCCAAGAAATTTGGAAGACAGCTACCTGTCCAACCTACTGGAAGAGATCCATATTTGTACCCATTACAAAGAAAGGTGATCCAACAGAATGCAGAAATTATCAAATAATATCGTTAATATCACAACAAGTAAAATTTTGCTGAAGATAATTAAACAGTTGCAGTAGTACATCGACAGGGAACTGCCAGATATTCAAGCTGGATTCAGAAGAGAATGTGGAACGAGGGATATCATTGCTGATGTCAGATGGATCTTGGCTGAAAGCAGAGAATACCAGAAAGATGTTAACTGTTTTTTATTGGCTATGCAAAGGCGTTCGACTGTGTGGATTGTTATAAATTATGGATAACATTGCAAAGAATAGGAATTCCAGAACACTTAATTGTGTACAAAGACCAAGAGGCAGTCATTCAGACAGAACAAAGGGATCCTGCATGGTTTAAAATCAGGAAAGGTGTATGTCAGGGTTGTATCCTTTCACCATACTTATGCAGTCTGTATGCTGAGCAAATAATCCAAGAAACTGGACTATATGAAGAAGAACGTGGCATCAGTATGTGATATGCAGATGACACGACCTTGCTTGCTGAAAGTGAAGAGGACTTGAACTTGAAGCACTTACTGATGAAGATCAAAGACTGCAGCCTTCAGTATGGATTACACCTCAACATAAAAGAAAAATCCTTACAATTGGACCAATAAGCAACGTCATGTTAAATGGAGAAAAAATTGAAGTTGTCAAGGATTTCATTTTTCTTGGATCCACAGTCAACACCCATGGAAGCAGCAGTCAAGAAATCAAAAGACATATCGCATTGGACAAATCTGCTGCAAAAGACCTCTTTCAAGTGTTAAAAAGCAAAAATGAAACTTCGAGAACTAAGATGCTCCTGACCCAAGCCATTGTATTTTCAGTTGCCTCATTTGCCTGTGAAAGCTGGACAGTGAATAAGAAAGACTGAAGAAGAATTGACACCGTTGAATTATAGTACTGGTGAAGAATATTGAATATACCATAGACTGCCAGAAGAACAAACAAATCTGTCTTGGAAAAAGTACAGCCAATAGGCTCTTTAGAAGTAAGGATGGCCAGGCTTCGTCTCACGTTTTGGACATGTCCCTGGAGAAGGACATCATGCTTGTTAAAGCAGAGGGTTGGAGAAAAAGAGGAAGACCCTCAATCAGGTGGACTGACACAGTGGCTGCAACAATGGGTTCAAACATAGCAATGATTGTGAGGATGGCACGAGACCGGGTGGTGTTTTGTTCTGTTGTACATAGGGTCACTATGAGTCAGAACTGACTTGCCGGCAGCTAGCAATAAAAACGCTTATTCTTTTCTAACTTGAATCTTGTGTCTCAAAATTCAGTCATTAACTAGTGTCATGTTGTTGTTAATGTTGATGTTGTTTTAATAAAAAATGCATTTTTAGGAAGTGAGTCTAGAGAAGAAACCTAACATCTGAACTTAGAGTATAATGAAGAAACAAAGTAACTTATACAAGACAGGGTAATTAAGGGCCAAACTGCATGGTAAAAACCTTCAGTACTAGAAGTGGGTCCAAGTACCAGCCCTGCCTTGGGGTGCTCACCTAAAATGGGCATTCTTGAGCCCTACTCTTAGACTTAACTGACCCAGACCCCTGAATCGTTAACATGAGAACCGCTGTTGAACATGCTATTGGAGCTGAGAGAGAAATGGGCATTGTTGAACCATAAAGGTTAGTACTCAGTTTGGAAAGAGAAAGGACAGAAGATTGGGTGTTCAACATGAGCAAACGTGTAAGGTGAAATGAGCAATGGCAGTCAGTTAGCAGTCCCGTTGGATGATGGGGGAGAGACTGGAGCCAGGGAGTCCCGGTAAGAGGCTCAAGGTCGCTGCCTAGAACTTTCCGAGTAGTTGTTAGAACCTTTGTGGGCCAAGTGATTTTTGCAGGTAGTCTTTTCATAGTTAGAGCTGATCGGTCTGCTAAGATTTTTTGGTGTTTTTTCCTCCCCTTCAAAGCACCATTACTTTCCTTAATTCCCAATAAAGGAAGAGTCGCATGTGAAACAGAAGTGTAATTTGAGACTTCCACTTTCCCCCCATTTGAGGAGAATCTCAAAGCATGAAATTTTCCAAATGCATACTTGTTTCCCTCTCTCTTCCCCATTAGGAGTGGAGGATGTTTGGTTCCATACCCATGCAGGCATCCCAGCAGAAGGACGTGTTTGCCAGCTTCCTTAGTTCTAACTTCCAAACGGTAAATCGATTTTCAGGGTGTGGTTTATAAAAGGTTGTTTCATATATCTGTGAGAATTTCATTAGTATCTTACTGCATGTTCTTATTTTGTGTATAAAGCGTTCTGTGTTATCTTATCTGGTGAATCAAACGGAATGGGTAGCTCAATTCACCAGTTACCTAGACTTGGCTCCGGATCGGTTTTCTCTAGCATATTTAAGCGAAGGGATGGAGTTTCATTCTTTGTCTGCCTCACCTAAGTCGTGTTTGGTTGGGTCCCTGTGTGCAGCCAAGCATGAGGTCCGGCAGTAAGAGGTCTTCGTCTCAGTCCAGCCCTTGTAGTCCAAAGAAGCAGAGGAAGGAAAGCAGCTCAGAAGCATCCCCTGCTGACATGGAGCTCGACTCGGGTAGGTTTTGCCCCGTGGTTTTGATTTCATTGAGAAGGCTGGGTGGATTTCCGTGCTCCAAGTTCCATAAGGGGGAGCTCTTTAGGAAGCATAACATGATGTGAGCACTGACTAGATATGAAGTCTTTCATTTATTTTTGGAGATCAGATCGCTGCCGTTATTACTGATGGAAGCGAAACTGAAAGACACAGCCTGGTGTGAGAGCCGAGTGGGCCAGCCACCTGAATTTCCCAATTAGGCAGACCTGCCCCTCACCCAGCGGTGCTCAGTCCGGACTGGCCCCCTCTGGTGGGGGCAGCGCTCTGGGACAAGCAGTGGAAAGTGTGGGCCCTTCTGGCAGCAGGGTCCTAAGAGGAAGGAAGGAGGGCAGAGCTGCTTCAGGCGTTCCTAGTTATTCTTCCCAATTGTATTAATCCAGTAAACCACTCCTCTGCCCTAAAAGAGAGACCATGGAGAAAGCCTGTCCTAGTGGAAACCCAAAATGGGATATACTGTTAGCTTTTTCTGTTTGCTGTCTGGGCTTATGCACGGAACCTGTAGCCAGCCAGAATTGTGACGGTCCTTCTTTAGCCGATCGGTAGTGTATCAGGACAGTCCTCTCCCACCTTTTTGAGGTTCCTCACTACCAACCACTGCTTCTTTGGGTTTCCTTGGGACTGCTGATGGGCAGTTTACATTTTACTCCTAGAAGGCTCTGAAGTGAATCAGAACTTTGTGTTAATTGTATAAATTTCAAAGCTGAAAATTCACTCCTTGTTCTCTTTCCCATCCCAAATCCTGCCCAGCCTCTTGGTCCCACATCGCATGTCAGAGTTCTGAAGTGAAATTTAATTTCAGCATTAAGGTGAACGGCATCAAGATACTTTAAAAATAATAAATAACATGCCAACAATATAGTTTGCCTCGAATTTGATTGTGAACCCCCCCTCCCATTTTCAACTTCCCAGGAAAATTTTAAATGTCAATGATTAAACCCCCTTAAAGTCCAAAGGAATTAAAGCCTAAAATTGAGTTATTCTGCACAAGTGACTTCAGAGTTCAAAATTAAAGCTTCCGAATCATCTTCCCAAATTTTCCGCTCTGCTTGGTCTCAGCCGCAGGGGTTCCTGACGCCTGGATGGAGTTCACAGCCTGGCTTTATGGAACCTTACTTCAATATTCAGTCTCCCTTTCAGCAAGGCCAAAGAGTGAATAGGAAACGTAGAATTATCACAGCCCTTGCTACATCTCCGTGGAATTTGGAAACAGCCAGTTCCCAGAAAGCCTAAAGCAGTTGTCGCAGACAGAATTCCATTCCATGAGTCAGCGCTTTTCAGTGTTATCAAAGGCCGTAGCGGAGAGTCAGCATTTTCTGAGTGAGAATAAAAACCTTGGTGTCAGTCTCCAGGGTGCCAGTCAGTCAGTGCGAGTTATCTGAATCCACTCGATTCAGTTGGAAGAAATCTCCCAGTAAGAAGTTAATTACGGTCGTACGCATTTATGTTACCTGAGGGAGAAAGCCAGCTGAGCTTGCCATTTTGAGTCATTTAAGACATAGCTGCTGCCTCGCGAAGTTTGGAAGTTTTCAGGGATGGCTCCCCTGTCACCAGGTCCACACTTTTTATGTGCAGGCAAGTCCAGCCTGTGCACTTACGCTAAGTGTAGTTCAAGGTCCTGAGGCCGCTTAAACTAAAGACCCTCTGGGCCCAACCATCTGCAAAAATGGTTTTATTTACTGATCCCCTGCCTCTTTGCTAGCGCCCTAGGAGCTTAAGCCTCTGCTTCTGGAAACACCCATACCAGTAAATGAAGCCACCATAAGGTGCAACCACCTGCTGAGGTCAGGGGGCCACGTGGCTGAATTAGAACTTCCATGCCAGAGCCTTAGGAGTCACTGGGCAGTGCAAGCGGTTAATACCTTCAGCTGGTAACCGAAAGGTTGGAGGTTTGACTCCACCCAGAGGCTCCTGGGAAGAAAGGCCTGGTGACGTCCCTCTGAAAAATCAGCCATTGAAAACCCTGTGAGCACAGTTGTACTCTGACACACATGGGATCGCCACGAGTCAGAATTGACACAGTGACAACTGGTTTTTTGCCACGGCCACAAACTTAAAAGATGGACCGGTATGAGCCTTACCGAGTGCCAAGGTCAGAACGCTGACCACACACTAAAGCCCAAGGCCGACAGCCTCATGTCCTGCCCGCACTGTGTGTGTGTACCTCCCCACCCCCAGGACATCCTTCTGGTTTTACTTCTCAGTATCCCAAGTCAATGCACCAAATGTCAGGGTCTCTGAGGGGGTTAATATCACCCCTCTTACCCACCTGTGTAACAGATCAAATTATCAAGGCCAAGTGGGACTGAGTGAGCTAGGCCGGCTTATTAACACTCAAGTAAGATAGTGCTGAATCCAAGCAGGCCCTTCCCACCGCCATGCTACCCCAGCCCTCCCTCCACCCAGCCTCTTCCTGCCCTGCAGGGGCACAGCTCCGTAAGGAGCAGCAGTGTGAGTGGTGCCTGTGGGCAGCTCACTCCCAGGAGGAAGAAGAAAGATGAGTCAGTCTAATTTGGAGTCAGTGTAATTTTCACTTTCCTGTGGAAAACTTTATTAGTAGCAGATAATTAATATACTATAAGCATGTCACAAACCTGTGGGTATAGTGTTTCGGTTTGGAACTGTGAAATACAGCTACCTGAATTTTTTTCCTTCCCTTTTCACATTCTTATGTTAAGTATTGTGATAGTTCGTGCAAATGAAACAGGTTAAGCTATTTGGTCACAGTTTTTCCTTAAAAGCGTAATATGCGTATGTTGTAAAAGAAATAATATTACTTCTGTGTTCTCTGCTCTCCTGCCAACTGGCTCCTCCTCCTCTTTTTTTTTTTTTTTAATTGTGCTTTAGATGAAGGTTTACACGGCATATTAGTGTCTCATTAAACAATTAGTACACATATTGTTTTGTGACACTGGTTGCCAACCCCACGACGAGTCAACCCTCTCCCTTTCTCGACCTTCGGTTCCTTGTTATCAGTGTCTTTCCTGTCCCCTCCTGCCTTCTCGTCCTTGCCCCTGGGCTAGCGTGCCCATTTAGTCTCGTTTTGTTTCATGGGCCTGTCTAATCTTTAGCTGGAGTCCTCTTGTTTTTATGTACTTCTTGTTGTTGTCAATAGTACAACGTTCTTCTAACTGCCTTGACACTGAAATTTCATTCATCTTCAACTCTATCCACCCTTAATTTCTACCCTCCGTTTCTAGCCAGTTACCAAACCTAACAGTATCTCAGTAATTGCCTCTTATTTCAGCCCTTTCTCTCTCTCCTGATTGCTCCTGGTACCCTTATAACTGATTTTTTTTTTTTATCCTTCCCTTCACCTCGCATCCATTCTTTGCTCTTCAGAGGGACTTGACTTCTCCAAATCTAAGTGACAGTCCGATAGTCTCATCACAAACCATACTGCCTGTATGATGAAGTTCAGACTGGTTTTGCATAGCCTTTGAGAGTCTGTGTTGCTCGGTTCAATTTAGTAAACTTTTGAACATGCGCTGTTTTCAGAGCTCTGTACTAGACCCTGGGATGAATGAGGTATAGCTCCTGCCCTTAGCTAACCACTCCCAGTCGCCTCCAGGTGACAGAGAGATAGACCTCGCTTCCCTGGAGTGCGGGGGCTTCCAGTGGTGCAGACAGAGCAGTGGCACACTGGGAGGGCGGCACACAGAGAGAAGTGAGCCCTCTGACAGAGCAAGTCGCAGACCCTCACCAAGAATGACTGGAGCTATGTCTCGAAGGGTGAATCCAAGGCTTTGCCAGATAGGTGAGGAGAGTTAGGACACTTGAGATGGGGAAATGCAAATGCAGAGGCATGAGACATCACACTCACCTGGCAGACAGCTGGAGTGAACGCCAGGCAGTAAGATGACGTGGTAGAGACAGGCAAGGTCTTTGATGGAGACCAAACCAAACCCATTGCTGTCGAGTTGATTGCAGCTCATAGTGACAGTATAGCAGACAGCAGAACTGCCCCATAGGGTCTCCAAGGCTGTAATCTTTACAGAAGCAGACTGCCATGTCTTGCTTCCGTGGAGCAGCTGGTAGCTTCAAACTGTTGACCTTTAGGCTAGTAGCCGAACTCTTAGCCACTGCACCACCAGGGCTCTTCTTGCTCGGAGAGGGCCCTAGAAAGTGTGCAGGGGTTTGGACTTCATCCTGTAGGCAGTGGCAAGGCACTGAAGTGGTTTTAATTGCATCAGGAAGGCTAATAGGATCAGATTTATGCTTTAGAAAGGTTAATCTGGCAACAGAAGGTTGATACAGTAAAACCTGCAAAAGCTGGAAACTTTATAAAGTGGAAACCTGTCAAAGAAGGAAAACTCAAGTATTTTCCACTAAAAGGAGCAATAGAAAAGTGGGAAGACGGCACCCTGAAGTGGGAAGACTGTACCCTGTCAAAGGTGGAAAACTTGCAAAGCCCAGAAAAACAAGGCAATCCCAGCAAGTTCCTGCTCTCACGGGTTTCACTGTGTAAGGAGGGAAAGTTCAGAGGCAGAAACTGCTTTTAACTATCCTGGCAAATGGTAATGGGCCTGAAACAACGCTGTGGCTGGGGTCGGGTACAGGAGCGTGGACTCGAGAGCCAGGGATCAGGGTGTGGGGCAGGAGGGAAAGGAGGGAATCTTAAATGACTGCCACATCTCAGTGTTAGAGACTCCGACCAGGTACCACTGGCGGTGCCATTCATCGGAAGAGCACGTGAGATAGGAGTCAGATTTTAGGAAAAGGTGCTTTGTTTTGGACTGGTTGGATCTGTTGTGTGGGTGGGCCATGTAGACGGTGATGACAGCGAGCAGTGGGTCTGTGAGCCCACAGTTTAGGCGAGCAGGCTAGACTAGAGGCGCAGGACTGGGGAATCACTAGATGTGTTCCTGTCTTTTCCCTTCACCCTCCCCTACTCAGTCATCGAGGCACCTGCATTTCCAGCCGCAGTTCCTACTCTGGTCTCCCAGGAAGTCCCTCTTCACTTGCAGAAACCACTCTGTCTATCTCCGCACCACCGTTCATGGCTCCTCAGTCAGTATGACATACACAGCACAGAAATGGATTTCCCCGGGTTTGTTTGGAGTTCTTAGTGCCAGAAGGTCCTGCACTGAAAAGCTGTGCTTTTCAAATGGATTGAGGAAATGAGGTGACTGACAGTCATGGTAGCCGACTCCCCATAGAGTTTTCCCCTCTCCAGCCACTGAGTCTCTGGACACACCTCGTTTAGTTCAAATAATAAATGTTAGTAACACTGAATATGATTACACCTTCTAACCTATCTCTTAACTTGCTTGTTTTTAGATGTGGAGTTGGCACACGTTTCTCAGAGCAGTGATGCTTTTCAGTTTCAACCCCCACTGCCTCCTGGCACTCCTCCCATCTTCACGCCACCTCTCCCCAAGGGTACCCCACCAGTGACGCCCAGTGACTCACCCCAGACCCGAGCAGCCTCTGCAGCGATGGATGAGGACGCCCTGACGCTGGAAGAACTTGAAGAGCAGCAGAGGCGGATATGGGCGGCTCTGGAACAGGCTGAGAGTGTCAACAGTGATTCTGATATTCCTGTTGACACACCTCTAACTGGGAATTCTGTTGCCTCTTCACCTTGTCCAAATGAACCAGACCTCCCCGTTCCTGAGGGAAGACCATCTGAAAAGCAGTTGCCAGATGAAGCCAAGGTGCCACTTGAAGCTGAGGTGCCACAGGAAGCCGAGGTGCCCAGCACTTGTACAGAGAAATCTCAAGTTGAACATTCCCCAGCGAGTCCAGATGCCGAGGCTCCTTTGCTTTGTCAGAAGGAAAAGGAAGAGTCTGCTCAGGTCGACTCTCAAGGTGTTCTTCTCAATAATGGCAGTGTCATGTCAAACTGTGACATTAGCAACGGGGGCAGCCAGAATCTTCTTCCTCCAGGCGCCAGTCCTTCCCCAGCCACTAAAACTCATAGTCCGATACCTGACATGAGCAAGTTTGCAACAGGAATAACTCCATTTGAATTTGAGAATATGGCAGAATCTACTGGAATGTATCTCAGGATAAGAAACTTGTTAAAGAACTCACCCCGAAACCAGCAAAAAAACAAAAAGGCTTCTGAATAAGGCTTGCCACCACACCAACAACTATTTAATTATCTCTCACTTTTTGTTCTGTTAATTAGTACTAAGTGGACAGATAAAATTGTTTTTGTATTTGTCCCTGTCATGTTTAAAAATCTATCCCAGGCTGCATTGTGGTCTACAGCCAACCAAGCCTGTTTTTAAGGAACGGAAAGACTAGACCCGCTAGTTTACTACATATTTTATTCTCTCCAGCAAAAACTTGGGTTAGGAGCAGGTTTAGAGATGGTTTGTTAAGGTTTATAGTATTTTTGGATTGTGAGTTTCGTCGGAGTGATGGTTTTTATCTGTCTTTTGTACATTGTTTTCCCTTTCTACATTTTGCTAACTATCCTGTACATAAGTTTAATATATCACTTTTTAAAAGAAAAAATAATTCTAACCATTTTAAAGTCGTATTTCAACTCCAGCAACCAAATGAGAAAAATCAGGGAGGAACAGCTTTATCCCATTTGGGGTATTTTTGTAAGTGATTTACATGCATCAATTTTAATAACACTTTTACTTTTTTGTAACTTCATTCTTCACGTAAGCTTGCTATACAGGTATGTTCATCTTTGCGGACAGAGGTTTAATAAATTAGTTTTCATATATGTAATCTAAGACTTTGAATACAAAAAAAAGCAATTTGCAGTTAAATTAGTATATACAGCCTTAAGTTGGGAAGTAAATTATGTGGTTGCAAAAATTAGTGGTAGCAAAGCAAATATAGTTCTAAGAAATTGCAAATTTGGGTGTTTTCCATGGATTTCAGCCTTAAATCTAGAAAAAGCAGAATCTTTTAATCATTTTGGGAAAAAAAAATGAATGGAGGCAGCTAGCCTTTGTACAAAAGTCTGTTCTAGTTTTGAACCCAAAGATAATTGATCGTTAAAAACAGACATAAACAACTGTCTCAATTGTCAGATGAATAAGACAACTGAATCTTTGGCGTTCGTCTTTATGTGGAATGTCGTCATACCTTTATACTTGGTCAAGTCCCTGAAAATAAACGTTTAGATGATCTTGAATTACTAGTCTCCCGCAGTGTTATCCAGCTCTCTGGCCAGCAGAGGGCGCAAAATGTAACCATCCTGAAGTTAGTTTTCATTTTAAGAATTTAAGTAATCAAATGTACTGTTCATATAGGGAAGGAAAATAATATGAAAGGGGCAAGTTTCATTTGAAAGCCCTCACAGAACATGCTAGAAATAGAATAAAATGTTAAATACTTTTGTCATTTTTCTCAGAGTTTAAGTACATAGTAAAAATAATCCTTTACATTTGTTTACATAGTGCTCTTACATGCATTAATATGTACCCAACATTTTTGTTAGGTAAATATCACCACATTATGGAAATAACATACGAAAACTGAAGCGTAGAAAGGTTAAAGAACTTGTCAACGTTCAAGAAGTAGTTACGGAGAGATGTCAAGTCTTCACCTAAAGACTCGACTTATTACCGCTGTCAGAGAAGTGGTCATTTGAATGCCCCTTTAAGTAACCAGGAGGAGCCCTGGTGGCGCAGTGCTTGACTGCTAACTGAAAGGGTGGCGGTTCGAACTCATCAGCAGCTCCATGGGAGAAAGACGTGACAGTCTGCTTCCATAAAGATTACAGCCTTGGAAACCTATGGGGCAGTTCTTCTCTGTCCTTTAGGGTCGCTATGTGTTGGAATCAGCTTGAAGGCAATGAGTTTGGTGTACAAGTTAGGTAATGAATTAGTAGAGTCTTTAAACATCTAACAGTTTTCTCTGTAGCGTATGCCAGACATCATGTTAAAGTATTTCAGTACATTACTCCTTTTTCACAATCACCATCTTAGGTAAAGTATTGTTAACTTTATTTTTTTTTAAGAAAATGCCTAAGATACAACTGTTAAGTAACATGTTCGTTGCTGTTGAGTCTATTCCAACTCCTGGCGGCCCTATGTGTGTCAGAGTAAAACTGTGCTCTGTAGGGTTTTTAAGGCTTTGACCTTTCAGAAGCAGATCACCAGGCCTGTCTTTTGAGGTGCCTCTGGATGGGTTCAAACTACCAACCTTTTGGCTAGTAGTCAAGCATTTAACCATTTGCACCACCCAGAGACTCTGTAAGTAACATTAAAAAAAAATTGCCATTGTGTCAATTCCAACTCATAGTGACCCTATATGACAGAGTAGAACTGCCCCATAGGGCTTCCAAGGCTGTAATCTTAATGGAAGCAGACTACCACATCTTTCTCCCACAGAGTGGCTGGTGGGTTCGAACTGCCATCTGAGCGCTTGACTACTGTGCTCCCGGGGCTCCTTGTAACTAATACGGTAAACCTAAATTCATGTCTCTGACCCCCAAATTCATGCCCTTAACCACTGCACTGCTTTTCTGCTAAAAGCTCTATAAAAGCACTTTAAAAAAAAACCCCGCTGCCATCAACTCAATTCTGACTCATAGGAACCCTATAGGACAGAGTAGAATTGCTGCATAGGGTTTCCAAGAAGAGGCTGATGGATTCGAACTGCCAGCCTTTTGGTTAGCAGCCATAGTGTGCCATAGCTCTTAACCACTGCAGCACCAGGGATCCATAAAAGCACTGGTTTCTCAAAAAAAAAAAAAGCTCCTATTTCTTCATTTGTTCAATTAGTTGTTAAGAGCACACTTGTAATAAGTGTTGTTCAACTTGCTTTGGGGCATTAACAGAAATAAATGGTAGAAACGCACCTTCAAGAAGCTTATACACTGGTAGAAGAGAGATTGTACACTCTCAGTTACAATGAGATCCAGTAAGGAACTTGGGCCATTTGGTGGGAGAATCACCTAGAGAGGAAGTGGCCTCAAATTACAGGACCACTGGTTGAAGTATTCATTTGGAAGGTATTTGAAGACTTCTGGAGAGAGATTACTCTTGAGCTAAGCCTTAAAGACTAGGTAGGTAGAAGGAAACCCAAGACACATTGAAGAAACTAGTCTACAGGGTATTTATCTATGTGAGCCATGGTCTCATCTATTTTGAGACCAGAAGAACTAGATGGTGCCTGACTGCCATCCTGATATCCTGATAGAATGGAAGAAAATGTGGAACAGAACTCAAATTCTTAAAAAAATCCAGAGTTACTATATTGGTTGATAGTGGAGGACTCCCCAAGATTAATTCCCTAAGATGATACTCTTTAAACCTTGAACCAAAACTCGTCTGAGGTCACCCTTTAGCTATATAACAGATTGGCTCACAAAATAAAGACTATCAGCCATGAGTACTGCGCTCCTTTAAAAAATCATCTGTATGAAACCAAAAGGTCAATTTTTTTTTTTTTAATGAGAAGGTAGGGGACAGGAAAACCAGTTGACTGGAAACAGAACATCCAGAACGGAAATAATGAGAATGTTCACACATTGTGAAGACTATAACCAAAGTCACTGAACAATTTGTGTAGAAATTGTTAAATGGGAATCTAATCTGCTGTGTAAACTTTCACCAAAAACACAATAAAACACGAACTAAAAAAAAAAAAAGGCCAGGTAGAATTTCCATAGACAAGATGAGCATTGAAATGTGCGGGAAATAGCATGAGTCAAACAGTGTAGGATGGTATCAGTTATTCATCGATAATAGCTCTTGATTGCCTTGTTATGGGGTTTGATTTTTATTAGGGAAAAGGATGGTAAAGATGGTTAAGTGGGGAAGTGAGCTGATCTTAGTGGTATTTCAGGGAGATGAATTCTAAGACAGAATTCGGAATGAACTGAAGAGAGGAGACAGTTTGTAGAAGGGAGCCCAGAAAAATGGATAGTAGATGCCTTGAAGAGATGCCCCATTTTAACAAGTTATTCAGTGTGCTGTGTGTGAGTATCATGGAGAGAATGTTGGGTGGAGGAATGAGTTATTGTTTGGACTTGCCTGTGTTGTGACAGGTCTCCAGGTGTGGGCAGGTGAGGTCATAAGCAAACACCTATACTTGTAGGTAGACTTGGAGCAGGGGTGGGGACTTGTTTCTAAGCTTTGCGTTAGGTTAACAGGGATGTGGATTGTAACACAGGTTCCCGAAACAAGGACAGCTCTGTCATGCCCTTGGCAGGTGAGAGGGAGGGAAGACGGTACTGCCCTTACTAACATACCAAGAGACCTTTTTTTTTTTAAACTTATTTCCAAAGGTTACATTTCTTTAAGTGGCCAAAAAAAAAAAAAAAAAAGATCTACTTTCTACCAACAAGAGGCTTCTTAAAATCCTAGTTGATTTTATTCTTCAAGTTCTCTGCTGGAATCGTTTTGCCCTTCTGTCTTGTACTTTGTATCATTAGCAGACAAAACCAACAAGGATGTCCTAACAATTGGAGCACCCAAGGTACTTGTAAGGCGTGACTTGGTTCCCAAGAACCCAATGTGTCTTCACACAACTCAGATGTTTTTCTTTAGGATTTAGGAAAATTCTTTTTCCTTCAACTTAATATATTTATTTGATTTAATGGTATAAATTCACTTCAGAATGTTTAGGATTATTGTTTTTTTTTTTTTTTTT